ACGGTCCGTCATAGAGCCCTGACACTGCGCCTCTGTCCACACGCGGGGCCTATCAATTTCCAGTAGTTATATCCGACAAATATTTTACGATAATATTTTCAGAGCGGATCGATTCGCAGCGAAATCTGCAGGTATAAGAGGAGCGCGCAATGAACATGCACGCAGCGTCGTGCTGTCACTATGTACATACCAATGCTATACTCATCGCACAGTTGACGATCATCATGTTATAACCCCCATACATACATAACTGACGCTGGCAGTGCACATGCCGATACCTCACACTGTGTAACACGGAACCGCACACTCTATACCACGGAACCTCACATTGAACACACACGGAACCTCACACTGTATAACACGGTACCTCACACTGTATAACACGAAACATCACACTGTATACCATGGAACCTCACACTGTATACCACGGAATCTTACAATCTATACCACGGAACAATACACTGCATGCCAGCGAACCTCATACTCTATACCACGGAACCTTATGCTCTAGAGAGAGAGAGAGAGAGAGAGAGAGAGAGAGAGAGAGAGAGCGAGAGAGAGAGAGAGAGAGAGAGAGAGAGAGAGAGAGAGAGGTGTCAGAATAGAACAGCATCGTGTTACTGACTTGTGGTTAAGTAGATACCTCTGGGTGACGCCAACGAGTAGAGCGACCACCTTATACAAAGATAGGCGGCGGAATGACCGGGGACTAGTACTCTCTGCCTACGGTCAACATGAACAAGTGGCACTCGTTGTTGGGACTGAGTAGTGACCACCGACCCCACTATCTCATCACACCAAACCACAAGCCGCACCGTTACATTGCCTACCTTAAGAAGAACACACGATGGGTTATTACCCAAGCAGCAGCGAAGACTCAGTCGATGAGAGAATGACGTGAAGGAAGAAGATAAGATAGATAGTACGTTTGGTCAAAATTTGGTGCCGTGGCTCGTGCCATATGAAACATACATTGATACACGACTGTAATGTTGCATCGAGTAACGTTCTTAGACTGCCATGTTCAAAAGAATCTGCGAAAGGTGTTTATCGCAAGTCGGCAGGAGTGAATGTTAGTTTGCTTGTGTGTACATAGAACACGTTTTCGAACATGCTAGAGAAATATGTCACATAGAAAATGTCACATAGGAAAGTTACTACCATAGCGATAACCAATTGCTTACCTACATTACATTCATAAAAGTTAGTCGCAGGGAAGAATAACACAATCGTACACAGGTTTTTGTAGACGTTTGTAGTAGCTGAGTATATTACTATAATATATATATATATATATATATATATATATATATATAGTTTACATGCTCCCCCCGGCAAAATCATCTACTCAGCATCTGTTCGCCATATGCAAAAAGAATCAATGTCCTTCAGATTTTATCCTGGATCATTTAGTCTATGTAAGTATACAACGAATTATCATCATTCATACATAGCCATATAGAGGATGCGAGAAGCATAACTGTATAGTGCTGCCACCTTGTGAGCGACAAATCGGTGTACTAACCATAGAGTTATATATTAGACCTATATATATATATATATATATATATATATAGTATGTCTACTANACAGAGGGAGAGAAACAGAGAGAGAGAGAGAGAGATAGAGCGATGAAGAGGGAGGCGAAAGCAAGACTACATGGCGTTAGAAAGCGCTAAGAAAGATTGCAATGATTTTCCACTTGTTAAGCTTTTGCTTTTTAATTATACTACTGACAGTGAGGAGCTTGCAAGCTCATGTTGATATATCTTTCACCAACGTAGGCCTACCATCACCATCTTTAAACTAATAAATAAAACCTGATGCAAACCTGTTTCAGTGTGAACAGAGGCTGCTCCTTGAGCTCCTTTCTGCACTGCGTGCCGGAGGTGGTCATGGCGGAGTGCGAGGACGTGGACGGCTGGGGAGACCCGACCGAGGGCATCTCGCTGTCGCTGTCACTAGGGGGCGGGCTGGAGCTCTGCAGGAGGCCGCGCCGATTCGCGTCGTAGATGACCTGCCGCCGCTTGCGCATGCGCCGGACCTCGGCCTGCAACCTGTCCTGAATGAGCTCTGAAAAGATACAAGATTCGCTTGTTTAAGTACCTCGGTCATAGTCATACTTACAGGAAAGTATAGTATACAGGATGCAAAATTAACGGGAGTCCGGAGTCAAATACTCCCTGATTTACTGTCGGACTCCCTGATTTGACATATGCTGGAGACCGTGGACTCCCTGAAAATTCTGCTATACTGACTACCTGACTAGTTCGTTCTGGAGCACGGCCTCGCAGAATTACCGTATTTTTCCAGCTAATGGCCCAAGAAAATTTGGCAGACGTGCAACTGCATGAATATTAAAAATAAGCACATGCGTTATTGTAAATATCTTTACTTTTGAACCTCAGACTGCGGACTCCCTCATTTTGCTGCGGACTCCCTCTTTTTGAGGGTAGGGAGTCCGTTGGACTCCCGTGTTCAAGACAAAAGTTAATTTCTACCCCTGATATATATACCAGATTGCGCTTCTATTATTGCAGTTCGTTATGGAAAACGACGTAGGTTACAGATATTATGTCTAGAAAGCAAAGCAGCAAACTAGTAGAACAAGTCAATTCGCTACGTAGGAATCTAGGATATGACAGAAAGTTCGAAATCAAACTACGAAAACTAACGAGTGTACTGACTACTGGTATCACCTACCTGGTGTGTATTTAGGTCGGACTTCTCCAAAATGTGACGGATTTGGCTGTGGCTGTGTGGATTTTGTCTGCGTACTGCCATTCGAAATCACCATAGGCATGCATCGTCTTCGTTTAGGTGATCTCTGTAGAGGACTGTGGATATGTTCGAAGTCTACAGGTCTTTTCAATGCTGTACAAGCCATTGCGAGGGATGGTCAAGTTTGCAGTGCAAATACTCCACTGTTTCGACGATTTCTCACGAAATAGTTGTATCGATGTATTAACCTAATATTGAAAAACCACACAGCAGTTAACAATAGCCTTAATTCTGCCTCCAGTTGCAGATGATCTGCGATTAAAATGTGATACGAAAAACGATGTCTTAGCAAAATGGCATCGACACTACTGTGACGTCACAGACTTGTTTTGGAAGTTATTACCATTCATTGTGTAGAGGGGGCGCCCAGATAGCCTTCAACTATATTCGGCTCCGTTCGGCCTTTTCCGTCGCAAACACGAAAGCCAATGGTCTCTTCCATAGGGTGCATCGTTTGGGTCACACCATAGAGATGTATAAATAGTACAATATGTACAAAATAGTACAATAATGTATGTATAGTAAATTTTTATTTATACATCTCTATGGGTCACACCTCCAGGTCTATGATGACGTCACTTATATATGGTAGGCTATAATGTTAGGCGTATGCTAGGCGTATAATGTTACGCTATGCGATGTGCAATAGCCTTTGCATTGCACGTATTAGTGGTAGCCAGCTTGTATATATATATATATATATGCTACTATATGCTACTATATAAAGCATTGATGTTACATAGTTTCTGACTCATGTTAATCATTATGTGTCAGTATATGCGTACATCGCCTTGGAGATGTGCTCCGTCGACCTCAACATGTGCTCCATAAATTACACTTGCTAATATATGTATGTTTTCTCAATTATATTCGCGTCATGTGTATACATTTCATCTGTAATCGCATCAAAAATAACTCCTCAGAGAAAGCATTAATTTGATGTTACGATATATTCTATTTCTTGCTCACGTCAATCATTAATGTTGTCAGTAATAATAGATGTTGTACATCGCCATTGGAGATCGTGCTCGTCCCACCTCAACATGTGCTCCATAAATTACACTTGCTAATATATGTTAATGTTTCTTCAATTATATTCGCGGTCATGTGTATAGCATTTCATCTGTAATCCGCAATCAAAATAACTCCTAGAGAAACAATTGATGTTTACGATATATGTTTATTTGCTGACTCGTGTTAATAAATTAATGTGTCAGTATATGCGTACATTCGGCCTTTGGAGATGTGCTCCGTCGACGACTCAACAGCTGCTCTCATAAATTACACGGCTATATATGATAATGTTTTCCTAAATCCGCGTCAATGTGTAGTACATACTATATATAACGAAATTGCGTCGCACGGCTTGCACGTCACAATAGCTGAATATTCATTATCGATCTGGGTGTGAACCCAAACGAGACAATTTATACGCATAGCGCGAAATATAGAAGGGGTAAGGGGGGGGGGGGCTACTGTTCAGCAGTTCAGCAGAGAAAAAACTGCTTTTCAGCATTTCAGCACAGTGAAAATTAAATTTCATATGGCCGAACACTTCCAATCGTAAATACTTTTTAACGAAAATGGAAATTTTATAAACAGGAACTATACCACGCTGCCCCACTGCTTTTTATTGTCAATACAAATAGAAACTTGTATGAATTAGGTAACACTTAGAATTCCAATTGGATTTTGAAGGACAGGACAATGTTACTAGTTAACATGAGTCGAAAATAATTATAGGTTACACATCAATTGCTTTCTCTGATATTTATTTGAGCAATAATTGAGAAAATATACGAATATTTAGCAAGTGTAATTTATGGAGCGCATCAGTGATGGTCGATGAGACTCAAGTACGCAGTGGGGGGGGGGTGTTTTGGGTGTTAACAGCCCCGCCACTGGCGAGCTAAAGGGGGGGCACAAGGGCCATGCCCCCCCTGTTTTATTGGCCAAACAAACGAAACAAAACAAAAAATTTTGCTTAGCCATCTCACGCGTCTTCACAGGACTGGCCACAATTCACCTGTTACTTCTGGCATCTGCTGAACGCAACATTCTCTAAAATGAAGCATGTCAAGTCTAACACTTCGTTCCTACAATGACCCAGGCCACGATTCTCTGCTCTCATTGCGTCTTTCGTTGAACAAGGAGTTAGTGAATGACATTAAATGGTCAACGAAATCCTCAAATGTTCTCGTGCACAAAGACGCAGAAAGAGCTTGATACTTTTGCAGATTTCTGCAGGTCAGACAAAAACATGACTAAAAGAAGAGGAGATATTCTTACTTTGCTTCCGATTTACAGTGTTTGTTGCAAGTTGGCTTTTGATTGAATTATGGTTCTGGCACTCTTATTGACCGAAGAATAGAAATGTGAAATGCTTTGTGCGATAGACTTTGATATATTCAAACTTATAGACGGCGCATTGGCATCCACCTCGTTTTTATTTCAAATCCGATTTCAACACTATTTAAGTTAACATGTTCTCTATCAGGGGAGGCAAAAAACAATTTCTTTTCATTGTAAATTTCTTCTTTATTTTAATAAGAGCGGTCTATCGTTGGCAGCTACGCCTTGTTTTATTGTGAAATCAATTTTCATCATATATTCTTTCATTCAGAGGAAAGCCAAAACCATTTTTTATAACGAACAAAATGTTAAATGTGATTCTTTAACGCTAATGTATTCTAAAAGCGATGTCATCTTTTGTAATTTAAAATAAATTGCATGTTTATTCATTAGTGGCAGTTCCAACACATCTACCGCTGTTTTTGCCCCGTAGATCTTTATTTCGATTTCATTCAATAATGCCTCTCTATCTTTTTTTTCAAAAAATAATTTGAACTTTTAACTTTTATATGAGGAACTTGAAACAGTATTATGACGATACAATGCTAACATTTGCCATGGTATTGACTAACGAAACACAAATCAAACTAATTCCAATATTTTCCGTCAGTGCTTCGAATGAGGACATAGGCGTAGCTAAGGGGGGGGGACACAGGAGGCCATGACGCCGCCTCTGATCGGAGAGTACAAAATTTAAGAGAGAAGGGCCCTGAATGGGATTGCTAATACCACTATTACTCTATACTCTATATAATGAAAATGAAATGCGCAAATGCTATTTGATCAGGCATATTGTCAAAAAATTACCCTACTGTGGGAGGGGAAACACCCTCCCCGTGAGAAATTGCTTCATGCGCTGTCTTTGGTCGCTTAACTCTTTTCTTCCCTCCTGAAAAACACTGGCTTCGTACACTGCATTTGTCAACTGCTAGCATCAGGGTCCACGACATGGTCGTGTGTAACCTCAGGAGCCTTCCGGTCGCCACAGCCAGGGCCATCGTGCCACGTATGATCGGATCGGGTGGAAAACATAAAAAGCGAGGAGGGGGTTATAAGGTATAGCATATGCCACTTCTCAGTGATATAAGTTACCCCTAATACTTGAATTTTTAGTGTGCAGAAAAATTGCCATTTTCATGCAACGAAATTTCGAAAAATCTCCACCGTGAGGGAATAACGCCCTCGCCCACACCCATACCGCCTCGTGCAGTTCGCTGCGCCTGTCGCCTTGGCCCCCCTGGTTTTCGCAATTGGCTTGCTACGCCACTGCAAGACATGAATTTTTGGCATGAATCTTGCGTGATGTTAAGCGTCCGTTGATCTGCCAGTCCTTGTAGTAATACTGCTAACTTTAGGTGGGAGGGAGAGAGATAGAGAGGGAGCAAAGAGAAGAGATAGAGAGAGAGAGAGAGAAGAGAGAGAGAGAGAGAGAGAGAGAGAAGAGAGAGCGAGAGAGAGAGGTGGAGGGAGACAGAGAGAGAGAGAAGAAGAGAGAATATGAGATCCTATATAATAGAGAAGAGAGAGAGAGAGAGAGAGAGAGCGAGAGAGAGAGAAGAGAGGAAAGTAGAGAGGGCGAGAGAAGAGAGTGGGAGCAGAGAGAGAGAGAGCAGAGAGAGAGATAGAGATAGAGAGAGATAGAAAGAGATAGAGAGAGAGAGAGAGAGCGAGAAGAGAGAGAGAGAGAGAGAGAGAGAGAGGAGAGAGCGGAGAGAGCCAGAGGTGGAAGGAGAGAGAGAGAGAGAGAGCAATAGAGAGAGATAGAGATAGACGAAGAGAGAGAGAGAGAGAAGAAGAGAGAGCAGAGAGAGAAGAGGGGAGAAGGGGAAAAAAAGAGAGAGAGAGAGAGAGAGAGCAAAGAGAGAGAGAGATAGACTAGAGAGAAGAGAGAGAGAGAGAGAGAGAGAGAGAGAGGAGAAGATGAGAGAGAGGAGAGCGAGCCAGACGAGAGAGTGGGCGTAGGGAGAGAGAGAGAGAGAGAGGCAAGAGAAGAGAGAGAGAGAGAGAGGAGAGAGAAGAGAGCAGAGACCAGAGAGAGAGAGAGAAGCTGAGAGAGCAGAGAAGAGAGAGAGCAGAGGCGAGAAGAAGAGAGAGACGAGAAGAGAGAGAGAGGCGAGAGAGCGAGAGAGAGTGAGAAGAGAGCGGCGGGGGGGGGGGGGGGGGCCCCGCGGACGACAGGGAATCATATCGCTTAAGCTAGGCTGCGCGCCACGTCGCGCTACTNAGGGGAGGGGGTACTGTTCACAGTTCACAGAGAAAATAAACTGCTTTTCACATTTCACAGTGAAAGTAATTTCATATCCGAACACTTCAATCGTAAATATCTTTTTAACGAAATGGAAATTTTACAAACAGAAACTATACAGCTGCCCCATGCTTTTATTGTCAAAACAAATAAAACTTGTATGAATTAGGAACCACTAGAATTCCAATTGGATTTTGAGGATCAGGACAATGTTACTAGTTAACATGAGTCAGAAATATATAGGTAACATCAGTGGTTTCTCTGAATATTTATTTTGAGGCAATAATTGAGAAAATATACATATATTAGCAAGTGTAATTTATGGAGCGCACATGTTGAGGTCGATGGAGCCAGTGGCGTACGCAGGGGGGGAGGGGGTGTTTTTGGGTGTTTAAACACCCCCTTGGCCTCTGTGCCCGCAAACAACATTTAAAAAAAAGCAAAGAGGAGAAAGGAGAGTAAAAGGGAGAAGAGAGAGAGAGAGAGAGAGAGAGCAGATGAGAGTGTTGTGTGTGTGAAAGAGGAGTAAAAAACAGGAAGAGAGGGAGCAGAGACAAGATAGGGCCCGCTATCTATCCTGTTTATTTAAGTTTAGTTAATTTGTAACACCGGCCTCTGCCGGAGGCTGTAAGAATTCAAGGTAGCGCTATAATCAATAGGCACATCACGACAACACAATGCAGGGCGCAACCACCGGGATATTATGTTTTCATAGCAC